TAGCCACCAACCCCCCGCCAGAGAAGAAGGACTAGTCATTGAGGAAGGGAGCCGACCGCCGCTTGCCGCTGCGCCGGAGCCACATCCGACCACAAAAAAAGGTAAAAATTTTTCTATTCGCTTGGAATTTGATTTTGAGCACCTCCATGACCAAATCAGAGCAAAATAAACGGTGAATGAGCTGAAAATCGTGGGTAAAGGCCGGCAACACTGCTGCAAAAAAAATAAAAAATCGACTCTGATAAGCTCTTTCTCATTTTCCGTTTCGTGCAATTTTTCCACCATTGTGTTCACCATTCTGTTTTCTATAGGTTGACTGAAGAAAAACACTCAGCTGCGAAGGTGAGCCGGCGGAGCTGCCACACCGAAAAATTTCGCTGCCGGTAAGTTTTTTTTTTTTTTTTTTTTTACTTTTTTCAGTTAACCGAGACCCCTTAACGTGTTTTCTCGTAGAGATGGGTATAAAACCGGCCGCAATTGATCAAAACTGGCCGAAAACGACCAATCCGAGGCAAACCGCCGCTGCAGGCGGCTGTGCTGTCGTCGTAGCACGGCGGTGCCGTTGTGCTGGAGTTTTAAAATTGACTGAAAAAGGTTTTTAACACCGATTTTAAATTTTTTTAGGGTATTTCTAAATATGTGAAACATGTTTTAATTTCTGGCGAAAAATTCAAGAAACTCGGGAATTACCAGTAGGCGCAGTAGAAAGTTCAGTGTTTCGGACACCGAATCGGGTAAGAATCCATCACTTTATTTTCTGTTATAAAATTGAAGTTTAATTATAAATAATATGATATTTTGCGTAATTTAGAAAACTTCGATAATTAATTACAGGTTATTAATAGAGTTAGAACTGGTTATTTATTACTGTTTGTCCTATTTTAATTGATTATTTGATTTTACAGTTTTAAATGCATGATAATACATTGAAATTGGTAAGATGATTAAGTTGTGTTTTATTAATGCATGTATTGCTTATCTTACGTGGTTTACAGTTAAATTGTAAAACAGAAAATTAAATATAAACGAAAAATTATTTGATTAAATGAATGAATGAAACGGTTGTCTTACTGGATATCTTGGGAGACGGTGGACAGACCGGGTACATAGAGAATCCTACCGTGAATGTCGTCTCGTACTGGACGGGGTATTGAGAATTAGTATTTTAACGCTCATACAGGACGATGTATGATGACGACCTTTTTCACTCTCATACCGGATGGAGTATTGACAGATAGTATTTTTGGCGCTCATACTGGACGGGGTATGGAAAC